CCAGTGTTTGCCTGCACACAGCATGTCTGCAGCAAGGGTTCTTACTAAGCCATTCTCTGCAATGGCAGATCAAGCAGATGAGACACTGAGGAGACGAGGAGACATTGCAGCTCAGGACTTAGAAATCTTTGTGCTCAAACAAAAATCAATCAGCATACAGGAGCACCACCTGCACACCCAGCTGGCCCCAGCCAGCCGAGGCTGCTGCCGACTCTGCTGGGGTGCCTTGGTGCAGGGCTGTGGTAATCCTCACCTGTCCTCTGCACCACTGCTGAGCAATATTTGTGTGCATCTGAAGATGACATGCTGATGGATGGGACAGAAATGTGTCTTTTATTGCTTCCCCCACATGCTAACATTTTCTCTCTCCCTTTCTTTTTTTTTTTTTTAAAGGGGCTGTCAGACTGTTAGATACAGGAATTCATATGATTTGTTCTGCAGCCATTTCTCCTTTCTCTCCTGCAATAGGATCTGTAGAAATAATTTAAAGAGCGGAAGGTAATTTAGTGTCTTTTTTACCTCTCTCCACACGTTTCCTATGAGTTCACCAGGTACCCTCTAGATGAACCAATCCTACTGTAAAATATTATTTCTAGGCTTTATTTGACCAATTTATTAACTGTCTGCAGCTTTATTTACCAGGTTCTGGATTAACTCTGAGAGCGGTTACTACTCAGAGCCGCTGCTTGCTTGCTTGCTGCCTTTCGTTGTGTTTATCTTTTCTTTGCAAGGAGGGGCTCAAACATATACAAACTGTCCTGAGGCTTAGCAGATATTCCAGAGAATCACAGAGCTGTATCTCATCTTCTCCAGTAATTAGTTACTGTCTCACACCTCATAGGAATCACAGCAAATGCTCTTCCTCGTGCCACTGCTCCCCGGGAAGCGGAAGGGAAATAAAAAAATCATTTCAATGCTTGAAATTACAACTTTCTATCTTACTCCAAACACTAGAGCACAGAAGGTGATGGAGTTGCTTCTGGCTACCTCTGTAGAAAGCTGCCCCAAGGTCACGCTGTCATGAGAGCTCAGACTGAGCCTTGAGGAGCCCCAGTGCTGCAGAAGCATTTCTCTGTCCCCCGTGAAGGCATTTGTAGTGCTTCAGCAGCTTTTTGGGTGCTCTGGAAAGCAGATTTCAGCCTGAGAACAAACAGGTGGCAGGCTAGGAGAGAAAATATGTGGAATCTTTCAAACAAAAAAGAGCTAGTTCACTGTAGATAGCAGGGTGGAAGTAGACCTTTGAGAAAGCCTGACAGGGGATGTTGCACAGGTCTCGTGTACAATTCACAGGGCTCAGCCGTGCTTAGACCTGGTTCTCTCTCCACACGGGTGCATCCTGTGATCCAGGTGCTCTTCACTCTGTTGTGAAGTGTGAAGTGTGGCACCTCACTGCTCCCCCCAGGCTGCTCCAGCAGCCATTGCCCATCTGCAGTGCCCAAGGGCTCACCCCAAGCAAGAGGAGCACTTCCCTTCTTCTCTAGGGCCAGTGCTTTCAAAACGTCTTGAAATGTAAGTGCTGGTGTTATTGGCATTGAAGTAGTTAATGTGGTAGTCTAATTCTAAAATCATGGCTGTATAAGCCTACCCTCACTATTATTCTGTTATTTTACTTCACAAGTTGCATGTTGTCTAATTGTGATTTACTGCATATTTCTCATATAAATTACTGTAATGGACTCTTTGTCTGGGCTGCATTGCCGTGACAGAGTGTGCTACAAGGCGTCACGTGAGCAAGGTTACAGAAAAGATTGAAAAGACTACAAACTATTGTGTGTGAGGAATCACTCCTCTTGTAACTATGCAGACATGCAAGGGGTAGAGTTAAGGGCTATGTGTACAGTCTTGACTTCATAGCATTTCTCATTGTGAGTGTTTAACCATGCAACTCTGTTACTCATGTAATGGAGTATTTTTCTAATGGAGTTTGAGGGGATTTTGTTCAAAATGGAAACCATCAAGATTCTGGAACGCTAAAGATAGATGGTGTGGGGGAGAAGTGTTCCAAATATGGCCCCTCCTGATCTAAGCTCTGTCAGACCTGCTTATCCTGCACAACCCAGTCCCTCGCCCCCCTTCATGCATGCTGCCAGCCTGCAGATTCAGTGCTCTCCTGGCCGCCATGTGAGTCGAGCCTTGCACACTGTGCAGTCCTGCACCTTTCCTGCTGTGGGCCCACATTATTATGGCCCGTGTGTGTGAAGCTGTCACAGCAGGGAGCCCTCCACCTATAGTCTGACCACAGGGTTCAAACGCATCATAATGGATGAAGCTCCTTTGGCACCAAGACCAGGAGGAGTTTTGCTGCTTGAGCTGCTCTTGGCAAGCAGCAATTCCTAGCATACACCTCAGGTACGGCTCTGCACTGTCTGCTCCCAACGTGGGGGAGCAGAAGGGGGGCAGACCTGCTTCAGTGTGCTTTTTGCCACCTGTCAGCACTTTGCTTGAAGTCAGGCTAGCTGGTCTTCCCACACCTGCGAGCTCGTTATGCCTCAGTGAGTGGCAGTGGAGTCATGTGCACGTGGTAAAAAGCCAGCATTGTGCATCACCTGATGATTGCTGGCAGGTGGGTCTGTATCACCAGCTCATATGGCAGGTTGCTGTGGTTACTGCAGAACCACTGAGGTTCTGCTGAGGAGGGACTGGCAAAAAGGCAGAGGAGCAGTGCCTGTGGGAAGCTGCTGGATGACTCTCTCCAGGAAAGATAGCTTGATGTATCGTCCTGGCCTCCTGCCACTTCTCCTTGGTAAGGGTCTATTTTATTAACATCGTCAAGACTGTAGGTCTAGGAGGAGAATGGAGGAAGTCTGTGGATTCACTGACTAGAGCAAATCACTTGCTAGGCAGCAATTTCAGTTTCAGGCCTTGGCTCAATTCCAAACTGTGATGGGACTTAGTCTATTAGTCACAATCAAATAAACTGGGAGCTGCTCTCTAGCAAACTTCCTTACACCGGTTGGCCACCAAAGGTTTGACATCAGGCAGTGGGTGACCAGAGCAGGATGTGCCCATGGTGCATTTCTGCAGACTTGGTCAAATCAATGTGTCCTTGAAAGAGAAAGAAAAGAATTTTTCCTGACTGAGGCATTAGTTACATCAACTACAAATAGCAGCAGATGTCCCTGACTTAGTCAGCTTATTAAAGACAGCCTGAACTTCATGCGCTCATGAATGGCAAATTAAAGCCAAACTATACAGAGGAAGGTTTTGCTTTTTGGGGTGGATCACTGCTGTGCCTCATTTCAAGTTTTTGACCCTTGAACAATTCAGCTGAAAGAATATCAAAACTTTCTAAATACATTTTCAAGATATGAAAGTTTCTGGTAGGAAAGTTTTTGAAAAGTTATGAGCAATAGGAAAACAATTGCGTGCAGTAGCAATTATTCTGCAGTTTTATTGTAATGACTAATGCTCAGCAGTGGCCATAACTGTACTCTAATCCCCACTGTACTCCTATTTTCTTCCTGTATTGCTGGACTTCACGCATTAAAGTGATATCCTAGATGGAAAAATAATCAGGAACTTATTCCCAGTACTGAACCACGATATTATCCTATGCATACAGTATCTTGTATTTCACTGATGTACTCATTTTATAGCAATATTTTTCAGGTGAGTTTTTTTTTCTTTTCTTTATTAATGTTTTTGTTGGATTCTTTTCTTGCAGTGCTGGTGATGATCCACCAAGTACGATTCTTTTGCTTGGCCTTCTGATGAGCTAAATAAACAGATATATCATGCAGTAGGAACTGTCCTGTTATTTCATAAGCATCTCATGTGCTTGAGGCCAGTGGGCTTAGCACGGGGTTAGTATGCATGCACAAATAGTTTATAAAGCTGCTTTGATTATGAAACCCCAAAAAGGATATTACGTTTTTATTACAAAATTGTTCTTCATTTCTCTACAAAGAAAATACAAAGTTCCAGGCATTCTCATGGTTTGCTGTCATGCTTCAGTTCTGAAGAAGGAAAAGAAAGTGAATTTCCATCACTTTTCTTCTTCAGACCGCAGTGCTTTTCTCTCTCTTTGTTTCCTAGCTCCATCACTACAAGCACACCCCAGCCCAGTCGAGCTTCCAGCTAACGAGGAGCTACGGCCAGAAGGAACTGCAGCTGCAGCATCATTATTCACACCTTTAGGATTCCACTAAGCTCAATTCATACCTGCTTCTCTACCAGGAGTGCTGGGGCAGCCTTGTAGGGAGCTCATTCGTTTCCTACGATTTAGCATTTGTCTGTAAGTTACATTTTTGTTCCCCTCTGGTAATTGGGTTTTCTACGTGGCCTCATAAATAGAGCCATGCAGGTTTCCCAGCCCCGAACCTCAGCTACGTTCGTGCCATCTCCTCCGCCTTCCCATCACTGAAACCAGGCGCTACAGAGCCAGCCTGGCCCTCCTACAGCCGCGTGCCCCCGGCTGAGGTCAGACCTGCGTTTGGCCTCAGCCGCCCTCGCGGCCCCGGGTCGCCCCGCCCGCCACGAGCCCGGCCGCGCGGCGCTGCGCTGCCGGCCGTGGGAGGAGCCGCCCCGAGGGCCGCGGTTGTGTTGCTCTCCGCCATCGCGACAACGCGCCGTTTAGAAGGTCAGCATTTACAAAAGCTCCCAAAGGCCCCGCGCCCACCGAGCCGGGAGCTGCGGCCAACGGCAGCGGGACGCCAAGCGCGAGCAGCCCGTCGCCATGACAACCGGCGCTCCGTCCGCGTCCCGAGAGCTTCGCCGCCAGCCCTTCGCTTCGATGCCCAATCGTCGACGCACGAGAGCCAGCGGCCGCGCTTCTGTTGGGCGACACTCACGTCAATCAACACGTTCGGAACCAGTAGGTTCGTGAGGATTTGCGGGCGGGAAGCCCCTGCCCTTGTTGAGTGCTGATTGGTTTCCTGGTGCCGCGGGGCGGGGCTTCGCGTCGCCCTCTTCGGGATTGGGCGGGCGCCGCCAAACGGTAGCGGCTCCTTCAGCTGCTGGGGCCGCGCTCGCGGCGTCGGGAGCGAGAGGAGGGACAGGTCCCTCGTGTTGGTGACCGGGATGGCGGTTACTTTACCCCGCCGCAGTGCTTATTGCATAGAATTTTGTGTAATTCCACAAGGAATTAATTTTCACCCCAAGGTGCCGTGCAGGAGTTCATGCCCATCTAATGACCCAGCGCGCTTTGTTTTAAACGCGCTCAGGACACGCGTTCGCTGTCTGGACCGCAGCTGAAAGAGCAGCTCTAATTAACGGCACGTGGTAGCGAGAAACCGATTCCCTGCTAAGCACAAAGCGCGTGCAGCTTGCTTGAGACGTCCTGTATATTCCTGGTGATATTGCCTTCCAGAAAACATTCTAAGCTTTATTTCACTTTTACAAGTCACGTCGCTGACTACGTGAGGAATCTGGCGGGGAAGGGTTGGACAGAGGCAATAAATAGAGCGGTAAGAGCACGCGGTGCTCAGCGCTGCTTATGGGCAGCACAGCCCCCCATCCCAGCCATCTTCTGCCGTCCTCATCCACACGCTGTGATGGCGGTTTTGCAGCTCGGCTTCACCAGAACGCGACCCGTCTGCTGTCTGATCGCAGCGTTGTTACACGCGTGCTGTGTGCGTGCAGCTCTCGTGTGGTTCTGGTCGGGTTTTGGTCCCGGTTACCATTGCACAGTCACGCTCTTTCTAGGTGACCCGGGAGCCCCCTGGAGACGCCTCTTTGTATTCGGCTCTGCTTATTAATGGATGCGGAGCCGATATAAGCGCAGTCAGCTTTGTGGTACTTTTGAGATGACGGCATCTTACGAAGCGTAAATTGTTTTCAGCTGACTTTATGTATGTTTGAAGATGGTGTGAAAAATCCAACTCTCGTATTAAACTCTACACGCGATGGCGGTGAGGGCTGTGTGGTGGCAGCAGGGCACAGCAGCACTTCGTATTTCTGAACCGAAGAGATGAAAGAGAAACCAGCAGCCAGGTAAACTTTTCTTAATTGAGGTTAAATTAAATTCGCTCCAGCTTTTGCTTTACATAGCCTCATATTTCTTCTGTTTTCTGTTTCTCATCAGCTTTCTCCAAGTTTTAGTCAGAAACTGTTCTTCATTTGCCTATACCAGTGCCTCAGGTGTGCGCTCTCAAGAACAGCTGAGTAGTGCTACCATCCATACATATTTCCAAGAGTGAAATAAAGTTTCTTTGGTGTGGCCACAGCCCAATTAGCATAGATGATTAAATCCCATACGTATTTTCCCACCTTACAGTAAAAACCCTTGAAGGTGGATTGATAAAAAATCATTCCCTTTCTTCCTGGTAACTAAAATAAGGCTGTAAAGCACTGCTGAATGCATCTGGTGAGCCCACGCTTGCCTTCCATTGAAGCAGAGCAAATGCAATCACCAGCACTCTTACCCTTTCTGAAGGGTTGGTGCACTTGAAAAGAATTGGATGATTTGTAGACAGATTCTGTCCCAAGTCTCAGTGTAAGGAAAGGGCGTGTGGTTTCTTTTTCCTGTTGCTGAGAATCAAAGCCATTATGTGCAATTCAACCACCTTTGATTCCTCAGTCAGTGCTGATCTGGGGATAAGTACGATTGCCAGAGAGAAGAAAGAAGTGGATGTGACCTTGGTGATAAAATTCCATTTCAGAAAGCCAGAATATTCATTGTATTTTTAGAAGGTATTTCTTAGGAGAAAGTAAGTAGGTTACAGTGAAAATAACTGTTTGGTGGAAGGAATGAGAAGTTCGACTTAATTTGGGGATCGTTTCATTTGTGGAGTGAAATAGAGCTGGGGTAAATGAAGGAAGCTGCCTTCTTAGAAGCATGAAGGCCGGTGGCTGTCTCTTGGCTGGTGTTCCCATTTTTCCAGTAAGCTGTCTGCCATGCGGAGGTGTATAACCCTAATGGCTTGTTGTATGCCATTAAAAGGTATTGTACACTCATAAAAGAATGACATTTTGATCAATGCTGTTAAAAGAATTACTGTCTTGACACAGAAAAGCTTTCCTGCTGCAAGTTTAAAAATATGCCTTTAAAAGCTTTTTATTGAATACCTTTGCATCTCTCAGAAATGTGCCATTTTGGCACAGGGCTGCTCTGAAGTATTCCACGTTGTGCCCTAAATGCAAGACCTTCTGTTTACCATCAGAACGGAGGGAGGCGAGGCAGGTGTATTCACTTAACTACTGTCATGGGGATGAAGGAAAAAGCACCTTGAGCTAGACTTGTATGCAGTCTAAAAATAAGAACTCCATGCTTTTAAAGAGTCTGAAACCATTTGAAAGCTGTTTGTTTTTGTTTTGCCATTGATTCCTGCCTGTCCCTCTGGCTTTGTTTGAGTGTCCCTTCGGACTCTGAAGCATATTGATGTTGGAGGGAGGCAGGTGGTAACAGGAAAACCACAACATCGCTGCATCTGGAGCCCTGCTCATGGGCGGGTTGGCTGCATTAAGACAAACCTGGGTTGGAGGTTCTAGGTGGCTCGGTCATGGTGTACAATTCTTCCTAACAGAAGGGTGATTTCTGATACGGAAAGTGTTGGAACTGCTGGTTAAGCACAGCTGCAGACATAATGTTTGTTTGAAAATGGCTGAAATTGCAATGAACTGTTGGATGTGGTTTGGCTGTAGCCGCTGCTGAGAATGGTCGCAGGGTGGGACCCGAGGAATCCCCTCCTGGCCCAGCACTCTGCAGCTCCATCCATCCCAGGGCTGTGTAGCTCCCCTGGCTCAAACAGAAGGGTTACAGTCCCGGCACCTGCAGGCTCACGTACAGCTCTCAGCTTTGTCACGTCTGTGTGCATCTCAAGCGTTCCCTCGGTCACCGCTTCGGGCCTTCCATTGTTTAGCTGATGCGAGGTGTATTAAATGCTTTCTGTAATGGATAAAGGTGGATGGTTTGGGTGAAAGAGCGCCGTGGAGCTGTGCTGTTGATATAACGAGATTTCAGACAAGTCGTCTAAGGCTTCGTTATTCTTTCCCTTTTCATACATTTATGGCCACACCAAAGCAATACACGCTCTGGTGTGTCTCATGTCCTGCCGTGGGGCTGTCAGCAGCCGGGTGGGTTTGTAACAGTGAAGAACAGTGGAGTGCTGAATGATACTTCAATAAATCAGATGAAAAAAGCTGTGTAACTTATGGTGGAATTTTGTTCCTTTGATGACAGCAGAACATCTTGTTGTACCATATGTGAGCTGCTCCTCTTAAATAGGGCTTTTTAAGATTTCTTTCAGAAAAAGGAAATGTTAATAGTGTGCATTATCTGCAAAGCATTGTACAAAGGGAAGAAGCAGGAGAGCTTGGGTGTGTATGTGTGATGAGACCGAAGAGGCATACCGTCGTGCTGCTTCCTCCCTGTCTCTCGGGTGTCTGAATTTCACCCCATGGAACAGCCTGCTTGTGTGGAGGAGCACAACTGCTTCCTTCCTTCTGTACCAATGAACGTCTTGGTAGCTCTGGGGCAGAGGGTTGTTGCTTTAACAGAGTGGGGATCAAAGGCTGTGTGTGGCAGGGAACTTGCCAGTGGCAGTGGCTGGGTGACAGTAACTTGCAATGTATCAAAGCACACAAAGGTTGTTCTTCTTTGGCTATTGTGTCTTGTGATGTTTCCTTCCCATGCCAGTTCCACTTCTTTTCCCAGACTGGGCGGACACTGCAGCAACTGGCATTTTAGAAGCTTTTGTATTTTAAAGGGAAATGTGCTGCTTATGCTATTGGTAGTACCTCATTAGAGCACTGTCTTGGTTATTTCTGAAGACTTGCCTTTGCTCAGATGTGCTGTGTGTCCACGACTTCAGCCCAGTCATCCCATCCGTGCTGCCTCATTCTCCTTTGGTTTAGGTCCCAGCCCACACAGAACAGCATGTTCTTCAGCTGCGCATCTCCTGTGAAGAGCTGATATGGACTTTGTTGTTGTTGTGGGTTTTGTTTTTGTTTTTAAACGCTTTCTGTTTCCATTTGTATATGTGTACTGTAGGGAAAAGTGCAGGGAACTGGAACCTCCAATGTTTGTTTTAAAGCCAAGAGGGAGTGAGGGCAGAGACCTCTGTGGCTCACATTCTGGATTATTCCCTGTGCCACCCCCAGCCCTCTGTTGTCTTCTGTGCTGCATCAGGCCCTATCTGCTGCCATCTGTTGTGTGCTATTTTTCTGACTAAGCCTTGCTTGTGTAATTTTAGCTTTGGAGCAAATTTGAAAGTGAAGTTATCACCATAGTCCTGTTCGCTGACAATATCTCCCTGAAGCTCCTTTTGAATGTTCTTCTACAATGACCTTTTAGAATCCCTGTTTTCAGGACAGCCGACAGGCTCTAAGTGTAGCTTAGACATGCTTGCTTACATTTTGCCATATTAAAAACTATGATCTTTGCTTGACTCTTCTTTACCAGGCAAACTAAATGCCTTTCTATCCATCATCCTTGTTTTCATCATTCCGTAGTCTGTAAATTTGTTCAGTAATCATCTTCAGGCAAGATCCTTTTTCCCTGATGCACAGACAGAGATGGTCAGGCTCTCAGAGGTGGGATAAAATAACCCATTCTCTTTTGTTTTGATATTTAATTGGTATAAGCTGGAAACATTTACTTAGTGTTTAGCCTCATCTACAAATAAGTTTTGAGGCCTATCTGTCCCTAACCCACTTGATGTGTCATGTTGATTTTGAGTTTCCTAATCAAATGTCATTTTTCATCAAGTCAACTGCCTTATGAAAATCTACTATATCTGTGCTATTAATTAGCAATAAAGTTATGATTAAAAATTAAGCTAATCTAGGAACATATCTCCCGAAAATTTATGTAATTAGCATTACATTACTCTCTTCAGTTTTTTCTTATCTGGAGCCCTGTGTTGGCCGTTCTGTGGCTCTGAGAACATTGTCAGACCGACCAGATTAACTATATATTAAGTATAGTTAATGGAGTCACCGTATCTCCTTTAAATTAAAAAAAATGTTACTGGTTTATATTTGATTAATATTTTGATGTAAGTTTTTACAGCTGTGAAATACAGAAATACAAATTTTACCACTAAAACCAACTCTGTAGAAGTTGATCATTCCAGTAAAATGTAATGCAACCCATCTAGCACTGAGGCTAGTTGTTAGATACCGATATCCAGATCTCACAGTTCTTAGCCTTCAGATTGATTGAATAGCGTTAGGGAAGTGGTGCGAGTACGCTTCTGGGCAGCGCAGGAGGGCAGAGCTCTTCTTTGCAGGACCTTACAAATCTGTGTCAACACCTGTTTTCATGTGCTGATAGCTGACTTCCTGGTGAGATGCATTAGAAACACACACGACTTTGCTCATTGATCAAAATTTTGCTGAGTTCTTACGCATAAGACAAACCTGAAGAGAGCAGCAACTGAAGGTGAACTGTTTCAGTAAGAGGAACACAGAGGACCCTGGTGTAAAATGGTGTCCCTTTGTGAAAAGATTTATGAAAAATAAATGCAGTAACTCAGATGGAAAATCAGATGTGTGATGGATACCTGTTGAGTATCTCCAGGGAATAAGCAGATGAGCAAAATCAGTAACGTGAGACTGGGAAGGGGTCTGCTTTATTACTGGCTGTAGTCTTAGGAAACACCTTTATGCCATAACTTGTGGTAGAGGCGTATTCTGAAATCTGTAAGGTTCTTAGTGTAGAGTTTTCCTTACCTGGCACTAATGTTACTGAGAAGGAGTAAATTAAACAGTAGCTCTGAGTTACGTTTGCTTTTAAGTCTAGAGCTTTGATTGCAGGTGGGTGTATATTTTCTTGTTATGGGCCTTTCCTGAGGGTAGGGGATGCTCCAGTGAACCACATATTGAGAAAGAGACGGTTCATTCTGCTTCCCTTCTATTTTTAGAAATGCAGTTTGAGGGATGTTTTCTTTGTAGCTCTGGTGTTGAGGCTATAGGGATTTCACAGCTTTCAGCAGAAAGAAAAGGTAGCTTTACATTCAGTTCAGAGTCTGATATTTGTTTTATTAGTGGAA